CCCTAACCCTAACCCTAACCCTAACCCTAACCCTAACCCTAACCCTAACCCTAATTACCTATAACCTACTAATTAGGACTACCCCCCTTTTTATATAACCCCTAACCTTCTTAGCCTATTATTCCCTATAGCCCCTACTTCCTTTATCCTTCTATTTTCCTTATTAACTTAGTTTCCTTATATCTCTATTTTCCTTATTACTTTACTTCTATAGTACTCTATTTCCTTATCTCTCGATTTCCTTACTACTTTAATAACCTAAACCCGCTCTATAAATAGAAATCCCCCCTCTCTATATAACTAGAAAATACTAGGGCAGATTAGCTTAGATAGGAGAATATACTTAACCTAACCCTAAACTCTCTATTTCCTTATCTCTCTACTTCTTTATCGCTTAATTTCTATATTACTTTAATAACCTAAAACCGCTCTATAAGATAGAAATCCCCCCTCTATATATAACTAGAAAACACTAGGGCAGATTAGCTTAGATAGGAGAATATACCTAACCTAACCCTATCGATTATCTATAGGCATAGCCTGCTATTCCCGCGCCGAACTAAGCCTCTATCGTATAGTGCTCTCCTAAGCAAAAAGACATATGCGTAGTAGCACGAGAGCGTACGCCATCAATGAGATCTAAGGATTCTTAAGATACCTCTTACCCCTCACTCCTGAAAGCTGTGCCATATTCCCTCTGAAGCTTGTTGCCGTGCTACCTGAGCCCATTGATTTGGAACTCCCGGCTGATTCACTGTCGACTTCTAGCGAAGTCATCTGCTTCGTCCGTAGCTTTGGTCTTGACGGACTCCATTGTCCGGTCCAGCAAGCCTTTCTGAATGCGTGAGTATGTAGCAACAAAATCCTCCAGATCATCGTCAGCTACATGACCCAAGTTCTGGAATTCCACGCAGTTATCCCGATAGTTGCTGGGCAGTGTCCACGTGTGCTCGTAATTGATAAAGACCTTTGGCGCAACCTTTGTCGTCTTCTCCTCCATGACCAGTTGAATGGCACGATTCAGGTCGCTTTCGTTTGGCTCTGGCTGCTCCTCCGAGTAAACCACCGAGTGGCTCAGCCAGTGGGCGGGGGCCTCCTTCCCTGTGTAGTTCTGGTGCTTGCACAGCGAGACGCATTGTGGCAGGTGGCTGGACGAGACGGCGGCGATCGCTAGGACGCGACCCCGGAGGGCTCCGTTGGCCTCCTTGTCGTCTAGCCGTATCACGCGGCCGCGATGGAACCAGTCTTCATGCAGTGGCTCCACCAACCATTTGGGTTGCTTCGCTGGGTCCTTGGGAAACAAAATCGTGGCGGCCTTACCAGCATGTGTTTGACTGCCGGGGGTGGCGCTCGGTGGCCACTCCGACGTAGACATGGTGGGACTGATGCCCCCAACTGTGGAGAGCTCGCCTGACTGTTGGTCAAAGCCGCTATTATACTGCTTGTTGTAGGCAGCGGAGTCTGTGTACCCCCGGAGCAGGTAGTCGTGTGGATCGTGTGGTGTAGATATCGAGGTTTCCGAAGAAAGCAGGCTTTCGGGCGACGATAGGGCCCTGATTCCGGCTGGGCGGCCACTGATTTGATCGACCGGTCGATCGGAATACAGGACTCCGGACGATGAACCTGCGACCAATGACCTTTGCTCAGCAACTTGTCACACGAAGCGTAGGGGAGCGCAAGACCCAAGGCCCGTTTGTTCAGTGGGACTCACCAGCCTCCGCGCCTGTCGTGTGCCCGAAATGGGCCGCGGACTCTTGTAATTTATTGCCAATCGCCGCCGTACCTTGGCGGCCCTGTTTGACGTCCACGTGATGTCTGGCGTCCTGCGTGTTGTGGGTGCTCAAGTCAATGTCGAATCGCACTTTATTGTAGCCCGACGGTTCGAACTGCGAGCGCTGTGGCGGTGATGTCATGTCCTGACCCTCAGTGGCCGAACATCTGACCGGATTGTGTTTGCGACTTTGAGATTATCCTTCGGCCCTGTGATTCGATATGGCGCCGTGATCATTGGTAAAAAAAAAAAAAAAAAGTCCACAGGGAAGGTTGACGGCGGGGGGCTGTCGTGCTGTGTGCGTAGTCGATGAAGCCCAGCCTCGTATTTACGGGGTCATCGTAGGTGAGGGGAAGTTGATCTGTGGAAAGCGGAATGCCTATCTGCCATCCTGACCAACTGACATGGGTCGGGCGTGCGACCAAGACAGGGTGGCATGAAAAGGCAAAAAGTATTGGTTGCCTTACATGGTCCGCCCCAACAGCCAACGTGGCAGGCATCGAGGTGGTGCGTGTCGGGGTCTGTGGGCTGATTGACAGGTAAATCTAATGAACCTGACGTGCGCTTATACATACTGGTTGCTATTCCTAACTCCCTCGACGCTCGCAATTTATTTGCTTCAGATCGCGCTGGTGCGCGAACCACCCTCTATCTCGACATCGGGCTTCGTTTCCCCCCCGCACCTGGCGGCTGCCTGGCACGTCACGCAGTCCTCCGAGGCGATCTCCTTCCATGGCCGAAACAGCAGGCCTCGTGCTGAGCGGCATAGCCATCACGACGTTATTTACCTCTTGCGTGGAGGTCCTGGAGTATTTCGAAAATGGACGAAATTGGATCTGCGATCTTGGGCTTGCTCAGGCCAAAGTCAACCTCATGAAGATACGTCTGAGTCAACTAGAGGACAACCTGCACGAGATTGCGGATGGGCACGCCACGGACGAGGGCAAGGCGGGGTATTTCGTGCCTGAAGTCTGGGATTGGGGATCACCTGGCCTCGGTTCATGCGACGTATCCGGTGATGACTGGGAGGTGTCTGCTATCTCCCGCGGTTTATCAGGGATTGGTGAGGTCCTACGAAGGACCAGTAAGCTGTGCCGTCGGTACAGCTATTCTGACACCAGCATTCGGGAGGCGGCCAAACACGGCCAGGCCTGGCACACCCACTCGCGCCCCCAGGATACAGCACCAGCAGCACCCCAACCAACATGTCGGCTGAATCACATCAATCGCCGCCAATCCGAAGGCACGAGCCGCCAAGTTCAGGCCAGGCAGAACAGGGTCCGACCCAGCGGCTGGGAGCTACTTAGCAAGAAAATGTCCTGGGCCGTACAAGACAAAAAGCGGTTCGACGCCCTCATCGAGGATTTCGATTTCCTCCTCTCCAATCTGGAAAAAGTAGCCGGTGGCCGACTTGAGTTGTTGGTCGCTGCTTCTTCATCATCATCATCAAGCCTAATTTCGAGTGTAAAGGGTATGTCCTCTCCAGCGTCGTCCCCAAAATAACCCTGCTGACCGGCGAGGAAGACACGGCTTGTCCCCAGAGAATGTCGCAAAAGGAAGTCGCCCTAATGCCGCGCAAAGACAAGTCAAATGCGCTCGAGCGCATACACGAATCGCAGCTATCCAGTGCAGAAGACCCATCGACTTCTATGACTGTCTACAACAAACATGACTATCGTCAGCCATCGGCCTCCAAGCCAGATCCACCAACGCCGCAAGCTGATCCATCGCCTGCGAAGTCAACCGAGCCAAGTCCACCAACGCCGCAAGCTAATCCAGCGCCTGCGAAGCCCACCAAGCAAAAGACGACTGGCAAGGAGAATAAGGCCGATAGCAGCTCAAGTTACTATGTCGGTCTTGGAGTGGGAGAGACAGTCCTAGAAGGAAACAACCTTCAGGATGGAAGCACTTTTATCATAGGTTTGCACAAGGAAAACGAAGGAGCTTTCATTACTAGTCTCGCCCCGCGACGCAAGGTTGGTAGCACGAAGAAAAAGTGACAAGGGCCGACTTTAGAGACGTCTAACAGGGCTGCTTTAGTCACGGCGAGTGATGGATTCGTCGTCAAGTTTTGGGATTCTATTGTATGCTTCAGTTTTCTATTTGTGCGAGCACATGTTTAGTTCGTAGGTTGCTTCGTTGTACGTTGTTTCCGCCTTTAATACTTAGGGCTTTAGATTGATTTCACGCTATAAATGCTAGTATCATTTTGTTTGGGCTGTGTCCGCTGGCTAGCAGCTGCTCAATTACTAACCACCTTTGCCCTTGAAGCACATAGCATTCTTCCGAACCTAACGAGCTAAGAGGCCTACCTTCTTTTAGAGACCTATACGTGCTTTAATTAATAGAATAGATATAGAACGTAGTATAGTAACTATAGGCTATTATATAAAAAGTATAGCCTAGCCCGTTATCGTAGTAGCTATAGGGTTAATAGCTTAGGGTTAGGTTAGGTATATTCTCCTATCTAAGCTAATCTACCCTAGAATTTTCTAATTATATAAAGAGGGGGGATTTCTATCTTATATAGCCGTTTAAGGTTATTAAGGTATTATTATATACTAAGGTATAACTAGGTAATAATCGAAGAGGTTAGGTTATAATATATAATTATAATTTATTCTTTATTCCTAGGCTATATTATTAAAGGTTTTAAAGACTTTTCTATACTTATAATAACCTTTTTAATATAAAGAATACTTATTATAAACTTAATTTTATTAAAATTATAAATATTAGACTCTATTATATTATATTTTATAATTATATTTATTATAAATCGAAATTAATCTTAAACTTTTACTAGATCTTTATATTTAGCTTTTTTATAATCGTAAATATAATAATATTTTAATCTAAATTCTAAATATTATTTAATAAATAATATAATTTAATTCTTTTAAATATATCTATTAATATATATATAGAATAATTAATCGATTATATCTATTATATAGGCTAGCTAAGGTAAGAATATTTATAATTTAAGCTTCTTTATATATTAAAGAATCTCGGATTCTTTTAAATCGTTTAATCGTTAAGAATTAAGTATTATATTATATTAAGCGTAAATCCTATTAAATCGTTAATTAAGTATCGTTTATAGAATATCGAAGGTCTTCGTAATTAGCCTAATACTTTAATTTAGGGCTTATTTAAAAGCCTAGATCGTACTATAAATATACTCTTTAATAGAGAGCGATTCTATATTAGTAAGTAGAGTTATTACGTCTTAAATATATTAATACGTTAAGTCGCTATAGGGTAGTCTACTCGCCTAGGTAGTCTACTCGCCTAGGTAGTC